CAGGGGGCTGAGCAGGAGAATGTTTGCTCGCATTCATCTTTTTTTTTTTTTTGCAGATAGCATAAGCCACAACAAATATATTGCTCTCGTGGTGAATTCTTTCTCTTTCATGATATTTATGTTCCTGAACAAAGCACTATTTAAGTACCAATTAATGTCATCTGTGAGACTAGGAAAAACAGAGAACGTCCTCTCTCTTTCTCTTTCTCTCTCCTCTCTTTCTTCTTCACAGAGGAACAGTGCCACGCCACTGCTCCTCTGTCAGCATCCCACAAAGTTTCTGCCCTAAATTATTCTGATACCTATGCAGAAAAGCTGTAGTGAAGGGGCTGGAATTACTAGGTCATTTTTGCATCAGACTTCATCTAGGTCTTTTTTCTGGTTTATTCTTACCAAACGCGACTCACCCCAACCCGCCCCCACTGAGGTGAACATGCAAACCCTCCAGAGGACTGCTTTTATACCTCGAGTAAACGTCAGACCAGAGAAGATGACAGGAAACATCTCTCAGTCTAGGTCTGAAAGGAGATAACGTGCTTAGGATCTGCTTGTTACCTTCCAAAACAAAACTGTCCGAAACATTTGTTGTTGAGGTTGGTATTTTCTTTGCTTGCTTCGCTCGCATTTTCAACCCACAGCTATGGCAGTGTGAGAATACTCTGCGCCAATGAATGTTTAATTCTCTGCCTTTCTACACAGTAAACCCACGAATCTATCTTTTCAAGACTGCGTTTCTGTCTTTCTCTTCTTAGAAAATCTGAACAGTGATATCATTTCACTTCTTGTCTTGTTTTGGTTTGAGATAAAATTATTGGAAACATGCCTGGTTTAAACCGACACAAAGCCACGTCCAAATTCCCAAACTTGATCGTGCAGCTTGTTAAAAGCAGAGCTAGGGAAGTCTCCCTTTTTCTGGTGTCAAATAATTTTATTGTAGGCTGCTCTTGCTTAAAAATGCATGTGCGTAAAGAAAGAAATGAAAACTCCCTTTTGCTCTCCTTCAAATCACGGTGGCTTGGGCCATTGCCTTTAATGGAATTAGGCTCTGATGCATATAAAATACAGTTCAGTCTTGCAACCTGAATGTTCGGATCCAAGACTTCTGAAACTTAAGGTTGGTTTGGTTACATTCCCTTTACCATGTTTCCGTAAGGCTTTGTTATACGACACATTTCTCTTCGCTGTTAGTGGAACAGAAAGATGAGTTATCCAAAACATGCTTTTAAGTTGAGCATCAGATGAACTTTAATCTTTGAAGCGCATGGATTTGGAAGCATACTGGTTCATTAATTGTTTGGCTGGACTGAATTTTCCATATTGTATAATACACATAAATATTTTAGTCTATATTCACCTATTGTTTTCGTCTCTCTTCAGCAAGAATGGTAAACGTTATCGGACTCCTGTTTGCCATTTTGGTATCTTCTGATTGACTGAAGTGGTTAACATCCAGAGGACACTCTAATCAGTGCTGACACAGCGAACAAGAAAGCTTTAGCACAGGATGTTTCATCTTGACTCAGCAAGATTTCCAGCACTCACATTTATACATTTTTGACAGGATGCTTCCTAAATAAAGCATTTGCCTTCTGGAGAACTACACCCACATAGATTTCATTTTTCCTGATGTCTGTCAATATCATGAACTTTATTAACAAATTAAAATTCAAATTCAAAAACAATTTCAATTCAAGAAAGCTGTCCAAGTTAGTTCTTTCTCATTTCTTACACATGAGGATATCTACAAAACCACAGATGCTCAACAATGGATTTTAATGGATGTGTGTATTTGTTTATATATACGTATCCATTTCATACCAAGACAGATTAGCAGATTAGAGACAAAATAAAATGAAGGAGCTCTTCAGGAAGTATTTGAACTGTGATTGTAGGGATCAGTGCAATGGATTTAACTCACAGTTTCAGAATTTCTCATAGCATAATATTATAATAGTGTCTTACTGGTTGTTTCTTACATTGCTGCAAATAGATTAAACAACTCTTTGTTCTTTAGAGACATCTGATTCCCATGTTTTGCAATCAAATTGCAGTAACTAAATGTATAGAGCAAAGATGCTTATTTTGGCCCCTACGCCTTCGTACAGATTTTAATTCAAAAGTCCCAATGCTGTGAAACTCGAGACTTGAACATGGAACAATGCAGGATATGATCAGTTTTCTCCATACAAGACATACAAATATTTAACAGCCTTGCAAAATTGCAATGGCAATTTATCAGCCTAGGAAGACTATCTATTTATCCACCCTTTACCCTGAGGAATGATAGTACTTAATAAAAGAAAAAACCCAAAGACCTACTATGAGCAGGTAAAACTTGGGAAGTCAAATACCGACATGTGTGCTTGGCTGTGGGTATAATGCACGAAGAAGGGGCTGAATTCAAGTCCTGAATGCAAAACGCTCTATTCTACACTAAGGAACAAGCCTAACTTTGTAGTATCGAAAATGTGTTTCTGCCCTTCTGTTTGCATTTACTGATAGGAGCGAACTCCTGCAAGGAAAAAAATCCAGCGGCGACTTACCAGATTTTGAACTATAATTATATACACACACACGTATCTCCCCCCACACGTATACAGTGACGGTAATGCAGGACGCGTAATCTTTACAAATTGTATTTATCTCTGCATTGACATTCCACTCGATTTTGCAACAATACGGATGAAAAATTACCACACGTTGTTCAGAGAACATATGAACGGCAATACCTCTTTTGTTCTTTCTCTCAGTAGGCAGCTTAGTAAAAACTTGCATTAAATAATTGGAATTTTATTTCAAGTTGTGAAATGTTTCAGTATTTCTAAGTTTTGGAAGAATCTGTCTGGAAGAAACTGAAGTCTGGTTTTGAAGAAATTGAATAGCTACTTAGAAATCCATTGCTACATATCTAAATTAGGAACTGAAAAAAAAATAAAAGATTTAGAGATCCGATTCCATTTTTTTATCCTTTATAAGATCCTGTCTTCTGTGCTGGCACTCCAATTTACTCCAAAACCAGTTCTTCACACAGACAGCTTGTTCTATTATGCTCATAAATGGTAACATTAATACATAATTTAAACATTATATATTGCTTCTGATACCTAATTGAAGGATAGAACATTCTTATCCCTACAGCTGTGTACAGATCACGTCCTCCAAAGCTTAGCATGCCCTAGTAGGAACATTACAGAACATCAAGACTGAGAGGCTAGTCCATGCTTTTTGTCTGAGGCAAGTTTAAGTACACTTATAGCATCCCTGACAGGTATTTTTTGAACTATTTCTGAAAACCTTTAATGAAGGCGATCTCAGAACCTTCCTTATCCCAGCTTATGGGTATAGATATTTCCCCTTAATATCAGATCTAAACATTTTCTGACTACTTCAGTTTACTTTTGTGCCCAATATGCCAATCAGAGTCCTTAGACATTTGCACCACATCGGCTTAAAGGAAGAGGCAAATACGAAAGCTAACGTTTAAAGGCATTTACATACCTATCACTGCAGATAGGCACCTAGTAGCATGACGGAATATATGGGAGATGCTGAACAAGCCAATTTCAATGGGAGTTGGCTGGATGCAGTAGGAATCTTCCCCACTAAAACAAAGAAACAGGGGAGAAAGTGAGCCTCTGTACTGCCCCATACGCTTCTCAGGACTTCTTGGGACACAGCAGCTATGTACGGGTTTTTAATGTGTTCTAAAGCTTGTGTTGTCAAAAGGTATCGTACTGAAATTCACAGCAAGCTAGGGAAATCAGCAAAAACAATGTCTTTAAATATCTTGGGAGCCCAGGCTGTAGTACTGGAAAACTTCCTTTCCCTCAACAGTTCTGCATCCTAGCATAATTCCCTCCGGGACTCTCCCGATGATTTCTGCGTATGCACAGACCAATGTCCACATTATTTAATGTTAAAAGAAAAAAAAAAAAAAGGGTGTGGTGCATATCACATACACTGTTCAGGGAGAGTTCAGTTATGGAAATGAATAACAGGGTATGATAAGGTTAAGTTTTTCAGAAAAAATGGCACGCAAAATGTGGCGGCAGTTTCATTAAATAAAAACACTTCAGCTGTCCATGAAATAGAAAGGAAAAACATTTCCTCCCAGAGACTGCAAGCAACCTCATTTTACAGTAAATGTCTAATATTAAAGAGATACTTGGAAATAAAGAAAAAACAGTTTTAAGAAGGGCAAGGTCTTTCTTGCTTTAAAAGCAGAAACAAGAATTTAACAGACTCCTTTAAATGAAATATTTTTCACAAATTTCATTGCTTTTCTTCATAAAACGAACAAAGCCTGTAGGTGACTACAAGTCCCGCTGCCTACAGCTAGAGAAACATTTCGCTGCTCTGTTTGCTGAAATCAATAGCTATCGTTGGCGCTTTTCTGTTTTGATTGCGTTTTGTGTAATATATACATTTCAGAAAGGATCCCACAAAACATTTTGTAGTTATAGAAATGGGTTAGATGTACACATTAAAAGTGTTCAACGGGCATATTGTTTTGTTCGGAGTATTGAATTAACAGCTTCAGGGCTCGGTCCAGCAACTGTTTGTACAAAGAGCTCTCGCAAATTGATCAGGTGTCTTGTTTGGATCCATAGCAGGATGGTTTCCACACGGATGGTTTCTATGGTTCTATCTAATAGAAAATGGTATTATTATAAAAAAAATTAAATAAATAAAGAAGAAAAGGAAGAAACCCAAACTCTCTTACGAGATAGCAGTGGCTAAATTCAGCTTCTCACCCATTCATCCTGTGGCAGCGTGGGGGGAGATACCAGAATTCCTATGCAACGGCATTATCCAAATTCCACTGCAATCAGTGAGGGGTTGTATCTTGTCTTACTTAGTGTTGAATCATCGCTAGGAATTTGTTCAGATTCGACTAGACACTGGTTGGTACCACAGTGTTCTCTCATTTGTTTTCAGTATTTGACATACTAAGATACAGCAGGGAAAAAAACCACAATACGAAAAGGAAAAAAAAAAAAAAGAAAAAACCCCATTTTACTAGGTTTTTTACATTTCGTAAATGGTACTTAAACCCCATGGACATGAAAGTAATTTTAAACTTTACCTTTGAAATTTTAACCTTTTTCAATATTTCATAGAAAGGAAACACTCTAAGATACCCTTTCGGGCCACAGAATTATTACAGAACATAAAGATTATACACAAGGGCTTAATCCTGTTCCCAACAAAAACGGTAGCCAACCCCATTTTAACTCCAGTGGGAGAGGGGTCAGCTGAGAATGTGCCATGTCCCTAATTTCAAATCTCCTTTGTGAAGCAAGAGTCAATCGTTTGGCGTATACTTCGCCTTTGTAATTTGAATTCTATCAACAACTATTCCTAGCCACAAGAGAAATATTTTTAGGCAATATATTTGTATAGTTTCACAAAACTATGTCAAAGAGAGATGTGTGTGTGATTGTGTGTGTGTATGTACGAATGTATGTATGCGTACTTATGAGTTTGGGATGATTTTCATAAAATACTTAACTTCACTTACATTATATCTTACATTGCAAAATGTACAGACACCCAGTGTTCTTTTTAACAACATATACAGGTGAGTTTATAGAGCCTTATAAAAGATTTTGTGATTCCAAATTAAAAACCATAGAAATATAATCAAAATAATGGAGAGTGATTTATACCTCTGATAGTACATAGCGCTCATTCTGGTAATATTGACAGCTGCATCTTTGGCATTGAAAATTCATTACAACTTTTAGACAAAATGTTGTTGCTTACAGCTTTTTTGTTTTAACAAGAAAAACAGGATTGACCAAAATACGAATATTGGGGAAGTACTATTAAAGGTTTATTTTATTTTTGTTTTTAGCAAGGATAGCTTAGGAACCCTGAATTACCTTCTCACTTTAGTTTATGGTGTAGACTGTATGAATCCATTTAAAAATCAACTAAGTTGTACCACATTTTTCGGAAAATTATATATAATATAATATATATATATTTTATATTTATTTAGAAGCTTTGAAATAGTACAGTAAACACTTTGCAACACGGTGTATAAACTACAGAATGTCTTTGATAATTTTGTGGGCCTTCAGATTAACAACATTTTTACGACCCACGGGTGAAAAGAACATGATCACAATCTCTCTTGTAAAGTTGGAATAGTTTGGGGAACACTTGATCACACAAAAATAATATAAAACAGTCAAGTTTAAAACAGTGATATTGCATTTATAATGCACATTTCTTTTATCTGTACGATTGGCTTCTTGTGGTGAATATAAACATCTAAAGGGCTCAGTGACATTTTGGAGAGAGAAAGATATATAGTGCTGTAAACAGGCACACACTGATCAGTGAGGCAAGATCAGTTGCCTCTGAAGTTTCTACAGTTCTACACATTTCAACTCATTTCTCAGGCCTGCTGAGAGCAATTAGGTCCTATTGTTGGCCATGATGTCTCCAACAGCACACAAATCCTTCAGTTACACAGAACTGGATGGCCAAGATAATGAAGTTGAAAGTTGATGCTTTTTGTTGGTCGACTTTTGTGCAAATCATGCTGCTTCAGGTAAGTCCTGTAGAAGTGACTAGCATATCCTTTTCCGTGCTGCAGGAAAGAAAGAAAGACACTTCTGAGAGAAAAAAAAAGATAAAAATCAGTCTCCAACAGTTCTTAGGTTTAGTATTTCTTAAGAGTGTAGAGAAACAATCAAAACTTGTCACAAACTGTCGCTTAAAATTCCCATTGTAGCAAACAGTTTAATGTTGATTCACTTTTCAGAGAAAAGTCTTTTTGAGGCTTGATAGCCTAAAAACCAAACTTCACATGCTGTTTCATTATTCTGTCTAACATGTCACGGCAAGTATTCCAATGTGCCCCTACAGAATCAGTGTAAGAGCAAGGCAAATAGTCAGGCTTGCAGGTTCAATATCACTGGAATTTCCAGGCCTATTTTTTCCGAGTTATTTGAAGCAAGATTGAGAATCCCCCAAAGATTCAGAAGCCAGTTTTCCTTCTCTTTCAAAGTGAACCACTATCCCCATCACCACACGACCCTCTAGTCTGGTTTGACAGAGACGAAAAAATGGTGCATTAAGGCTACAATTCAAATTTCAGCCTCTACTGTCAGGCTGGAAATTAACTCGTGTTACGGAGATGAAGGAGGTCAATGCATTAGCAAACCCATATCCTAATCCACCAGCTGTGGTAGCTCTATTACCTCAAGACACTGGCTATTTTAACTGTAATTGGGAGCAAAGGTAACAAATGATTTGTGCGAGCGTGCAGGAAGACCCTGGGTTAAATTCTGATCTCAGTCACACACGAAGTTGAGGCAAGGAACTAACTCACTTGCTGAAGTATCATTATTACTGTTATTATCATCATCATCATCACTGTTGTTTAGTAAAGCTCGTACTGATACAATCAGGTTTTACCTTAGCTCCAAATCAACTAAATCCCGACCTGAAATTCAGTATATTTCGGTGCATGAAGTGTTACAACTAAAAGAGAAAGGAATCTTGACTTTAGAATGAATCTTTGAGTCAAGCCATCCATAATACATGTTGATGCTGGCATGCTGACACACAAACACATCCAGTCTCCGTTCCATTTAACATAAATATATACAGTAGACATACTGATTCACTATATATATTCACTAGTAAACATATGAAATGTATCTACTATCACACGGAAGTTAGATTCCTCACAGGAAAATGTTAACATGGGCGTGGTATGTTCGTCTAATCTAGCCTGCCTATGCCACAGGATGCACGCAGAAAAGTGTGACAAACATTTATGAATAAGCTAGCTGTTCAACATACAGACAGTTGCCAGACGTGTTACTAACATTAGGATTAAAACATCTACTGTATTATGTTTTGGATGTTTCAGTGCTGTAGCAAATTAGCAGCAGAATTAGAGAGGATTTTTAAAAGCTTCTGCAAGATATTTTTTTAGTATTGTAGTTAAGATTAACGAGATCGAAATCTTCATGATGTTTTGATGCAGCTTATGATCAGACCAATCCAGTTTCTAGGCGTGTTAATATGCTTACATTACAAAACCATCAGGCCGTTTTATAGCAAGAACTAAATCTTACACATTAGGGTGCAGAACACCTGCAACTCTCCCCACCTACAAAAATCCTTGTCCTGAATCTTAAATACCTTCTGCCAACACATAAAATGCATCGGATTTCAAAGGCAACTTCTGTCCTCCTTTTTTTTTTTTTCTCTTTTGTATTTGCACAGAATTTCTGTGCAAGCAAATCTCTCCGTGTCTCTATCAGTTTCCGTCTTTTTACAGATGGGGAATATAAATCAGAGAGGTTAAATGGAAAGGAGGATGGACTTAGCTTAAAACAGAGGGCAGTAAAAGTTCCGACATCGGTTTCTGGCTCTGTGTGTGTGCATGCATGTGTGTTCATAAATAAACTTCAAGAAAAAACACTGAGCCTCTCTGTATCACAGTTTCTCCATCTGTAAAATGGGAATAATATTGCTTACCTATCTCCTAGAGGTGCAGGAAGGTTTAAACCACTATTCTTTATAATCCACTTTGAGATCCAGAGATGGCAAGTGCTATAGAAATGGAAGTATCAGAGTCAGTGTAAGAGCTGGAACAAGAACACCATAATTTCTGGTGCCTAATATCTCCTCTGAGATCACAGCTCTCTCTTTCATCCCTATTTTCTCTCCTGTTCTGAACTCTCAAACTAGTGCATAGGGAAGCTTGAAGTCTGTGTGAGTACAGTACTAGTTATAAAGAGGGTTTTGATAATAAGCAGTTTCATAATTTTGTTAATGTAATTATACTATTTGTACACATATTCCAGTAGTGTTTGAGGTGCATAAGATGATTAAAGAATCACAAGTATTCCAGTTAAAATTCTTTGGGTACACTATTTCTGCTGTACTGAGTATTACTGATCCTTTCCCAAAGACCTCTCAAAGATTTTGAGTGTTACAGTAAGAGCGCTTAATGCATAAAATTTACATGGAATTGCAATAAAAACTGGAAATAAACCCCAGCAAAAATATATTAAGATTCACTTGTTCCTCAGTACGCATTAGTAAGCCTCCCCTTCACAGTGAGCTAGTTCTGTGTAGGCTGACAAGAGAAGACGTGCAAAGACATCAGCGGTAGATGAACAGAAAAAGAAATTGAAAACGCTAACATAAGAAACAGAAAAGAGAAAATAATGTATGCACTGATTATTCCTAGCTTATGAATCAGAAATGAACAGAAAATACTGTAAAGCCCTAGTCTCCTTAATAAATCTCCCTTTCACCCTGTTGTGAATCATCCTACGGCATCCAAACCTGATGTCAGACTGCTTTACAGCCGTGAATACAGTCATATATATTTCCTCTTTTGGCAAACCCTAGAAGGGATTGCCTGTACTTGGAAGACCTTCAAACTCTGAATCAAAAATTTCTCCTGTTTACTATTCTTAGCTAACCCAACTAGGGTGGAGAGAAGGCCCACTGCTTCCCTCCACAGCTGGCAACCAAAGCAGCAAACGAGAACCCATCCTATACCTTTTATAACTATTGTCATTTTCTCTCTATACTGTATTTAAGAGCTCTGTAAACCGCCACGGCATTATATCTGCTGTAACAGATCGACTGCTGAGTTCCCCCAAGTGCCAACAGTCTAAAGATCCCAGTGAACCTCTGGATAATAAAATCTCCGAAGAATATCAAATGCCAGGCGTGCTGCTGCTGTTACAGAAACATTGCTGATCCCCCTTTGCTTAGGAGAAAGACGACACTTGAACCTAAAATCCTCTCTTTTAAATCAAAGCAAGCTATGCAACAGGAGAACAGGGGGAAAAGCCAGAACGTAAACTGTCATCTTGCTATTCCACAGATCCAATTCTGTAAGTTAGCGCAATACCCAGGTAATATTTTGTCTTCCTGTGGGCTTTCAGAGATGGGCTTCCACACAAGCACTCAATGCATTATGTTTTTTCTTGTGGGTCCGCTGCAAAAACGTGCCTCAGTGTGCCACGCTGATGCAGACCAGGCGGTGCCCAAGAACACTGCAACTGATACAGAGATGACGGGAGGCTGGATTGTCCCGTGTTCCACTTCAGAAAGAGCCCAGCTATTCAGGCTTCGCAGTGAACGCCTTTCACTTGCAGTGAACAATAATTCAAAAAGGAGTTAATTGCCTCCTCTACATCACGGCAATGTAGGTTTTAAATTTGCATTATTAATTTTAACTCTCTGTATTTTTATGGTTTGCTTTACAGCCTATACGTTAACTGTAGCGGATGAAATATTGTCCTTCACTAAGTCCCATTAGCTCTGACAGAGCCAGGAATGGGTAATCCTAGTGACAACCAACGGGCTGCCAATTCAGCGTTCTTGTTTTGAACACAGACCAGGATTTAGGTAGTGCTAGAAGGCACTCTGTATGAAATAATCTGGCTGTTTCAGTTAACCTGGAGCTCTAGCTCAGTTATCAGCAACTGTATTCTGGGAAAGAGGACAACAAGTGAATGGGAATGCAGAGTAAACTACCATAGCTCCCTCACCCTTTGTAGTGGTGCATCCAGGTAAAGGGTGAGACACACGGCTGGGGCTGGGGGATGTAGGATGGGGATTACTCTGCTGCCACCCATGTTCTGTGGATAAAAAAGTATTCCAGTCATTGCAGGTGTCAATTCAGTATCTTTTGCAATCCACAAAGTCTTTTTTTTTTTTTTTTAATGAGCTATTAAAGATTTTTTTTGAAGCATTGCTAATAATATTTAATGAAAATTCCACTAATGGCATTATAAAAAGAGATTGTACTATCCAGTCCGATAAATTTTGGCACACAAATATGAAAATATTTTCCTCCTATGAAAAAAAGTTCCCCTTAAACGAATTCATGAGGAAAAGATATAGGAGGAAAAAATATATATATCCTCCTATATCTTTTCCTCATGAATTCGTTTAAGGGGAACTTTTTTTCCTTTTCTTTCAAGGCTTTAGTTAAGAGATTTTGTGCTTCAAATCTAGGTACTCTGTAGAGCACACTTGGACAAAACAGCTTGCATTCCAGATGCCGATGTCACATTTGGCACAATTAATGTGGTTTTGTTAACTGTGTATTGTATCAAATAGTTGAGAAAAGGAAGATGGAACATACTTACTTTTGTACTTAAAAAAAAAAAAGGCCAACTCTCCCCTAAAGTCAGTGAGTCAGTTGGCTCTGGCGACCACTGTGTGTGTGTGTGTATGTCTGACGACTCCTGAAGCCCACCAAGGGAGTTAGGGAAGAATGAGACCGCATTCTGTCTGGCCATTTCCCTATGACAAAATAGGGAAGGCAGGAGAGCCTCCTGCCATGTGAACGTGGAAGTTGCACCAAGGCAGAATCTTACTCCAAGATATGGAATTCAGTATGACTGAAATGTTCTTTCTGGGATCTGCAAACCCCAAAATAGAAATATTGTTTCTAAAATAAACCATCAGCATTTGGACTGATGGGTACGATTACCCAGATTTCATGTGAACAAAAAAAAAATAAAAAAATACTGTGAGCATTAGGTCTTCAGGCTGTGAATAAATAAAAGCAGGCCAAAATGCAGAAGTTTGCAATTGTTGCAC